GGGGATGCGAATGCTTGGTTGGACTAGATTAAATATTCTGTTCACACTCTAAATAAGAGTGATTGTTACACCTGTGCAACAGGAAGCCCAGAAGCCCAAGTGATCCCCTTTCCACTTGGATGGTCCTCAGACTCTCAGGGCATGCACTGTATGGTTGCTCTCTTCCAGGACCCTATAGCCTGGGGCAGCGAATGCTGTAACTCCTTGTTACAACTGTTCCCTAATGTCAGGAGGTTTATGGGTCAGCCCCCAAGGACCATTAGGCCTCCAGCCTCAAATGTCAATTTCACTGCATGTCTTTCCTGACATGGAGGGAATTTGATGTTCATCAGAAACCTAATGGAATACAGTGAGTGCAAACTCTTTAAAGAGCTCCAAAATCAGTCAGCCTTAGCTGTTCCGTGAGTAGATGTCTGGTGGTATTACCTGGTGGTATTATGGGAAACAATTATTCAGGGTTTTACCGGCAAATTGTAGTGGCACCTGTGCTTTGGTGCAATTGGCCATCCCTTTCATCCTGGCATTCCATCAATCAACAACTACAGGAAACAGGCATAAAGCCAAGAGAAGTGCAGTTACTCCCCTTGACTCTTTGGATTCCCACGTTCACATAGACAGTATAGGAGTTCCCCTGAAGGGTGCCAAACAAATGCAAAACAAGAAACCAAATAGCTGCAGGGTTTGAATCTGTATTATTCTGGTGGTCAACCATAAACAAAAAGTGGACTAGATGGATTTGTAAATTATACCAGGGATGCTATAAAAGGAACAGCAGAACAATTAGGACCTACTAGTAAAATGGCCTGGGAAAACAGGTTAGACCTAGATATGATATTAGCAGAAAAGGGAGAAGTATGTGTTATGATCGAAGTCCAATGTTGTACTTTCATTCCCAATAACACAGCTCCTGATGGTACCATTACCAAAGCATTACCTTAGCTAATGAACATGCTGAAAATTCAGACATAGATGACCCCTTTTCTAATATCATGGAACAATGATTCGGGAAATGGAAAGAGCCTATGACTTCAATCCTCTAATTATCGTATTTGGCATATTAACACTAATGGGATGCTGTATGATACCCTGTATAAGAGGATTAGTTCTAAAACTCATGGAAACAGCCTTCTCCAAACAAACCCCACCCCCATACCAAAATAACCTTTTTCACCTAGAAACATATGAACACCAAAGTCAACATCTTGCAAAATTTGAAGAAAAGAATGAAGAAGTCTTTAAAAAAAAAAAAATTATAATCCTGTTATTGTATTCGGGTAACCTTTCTTTTTTTTCTTTACTTTCTGAAGTAAAGACTTTATGATCTCTTTTTCTTTGACTACTTCCTGAAGTGAGTAAAGACTTTATGATCTTTCTCTTTTTCACTGACTTCCCAAAGAAAGCAGAAACTTTATGATCTTTCTTTTCCCTTTCCTAAAATAGGTATGCACGCCTTAGAAATTTGAACTAGCCAACTGGGTAAGGGAAAAGATTGTGCGGTCAAAACCCTAGCCAATGGGGTGAGACACAGTCTTAATACTCACGTCAGGGATTAAAAACCCAAGTGGACTGCCCACTCGGTGTGCTCGCTGGCCTGTTCCTGTATGTACAGCTATGCACACACACCCTCCTGCAGGAGTAACTTTTGCTTTCCCAAAGTAATTTAGTCTCACCGAGTGTCTTTTATGAGACATCGGAATTCATTTCTAACATTGTTGGTTAGAATTTCTAATCGAGTTGGTTCGACTCATAGTGACCCTGTATAATAAGGTTTCAGAGGAGTCACTAGTGGGTTTGAACTGCCAACCTCAAAATTTGAAGTCCAGTGCTGACCCTACAGAACCACACTTAGATATTAAAATTCAGGATGTATCTATTGGGAGAGGCCATTCTTTGTCTGTTTCAGCTTCTACTAAGCTGCCAGCAATCCTTGGCATTTCTGGGCTTGTCCATGTATCTGTTGTGTGTATCTGTCCTCATATGGCATCTTCCCCTTGTGTGTTTTGGTCTATTCTGCTCCTTTATAATTCAGAAATGACTAGCTTTAGGCCCCACCTTAGTCTGGTATGAAGTAATAAACATAGCAAAAATTCTACTCCCAAACAAGGTCCTATTTATAAGTACTGGGTTAGGAATTCAGCATAACTTTGTGAGGGACACAGTTCCATCCATAATATTTAATTAGCCCATTTCAATAAGCAGTGGCTTAAATACACTATCTTATGTGGTGCTATAGGATAAGCACTGGATAACTAACCACAAGGTTGGGAGTTCAAACCCAGCAGCTGGCTGCTTCTCAGAAACCCTATACAGGATCGCTATGAGTCCGAATCAACTCAACAACAATAAATCATTATATCAACGCTGCAGTGTAGAAAGAAGAAAAAAACCTAGTACCAATGGTTCTGATTCATGTGTTATAAAGTAGAACAGTCTCAGGGGCCTTCTTTTACAAAAGCAAATCACTAGTGTTTCTTCTAAAGTGACACTGCGTAGATTTGAACCACCAACCTTTAGGTTAGTAAATAAGTACATACCGTTTGTGCTACCCAGGGACTTTAGGGAAGTGGCTAAATAATTATCCTAATTTTTAAAGTATTGTGCTGAGCATTAAAGAGGTAAAATATTCCCTAGACCACACAGCTAGAAAGAACAGTTCTTTTTCTTTCTGCAATACAGCACTGCCTCCAACTACCAAAAATGTTTTGCTGTGATTTTCACAAAACTGAAGATGGCGTAGTATATTCTCTAGCCCTTTACTACTTTTTCTGGTCCCCTTAACTCTATTCTATCCAAATAGGGCATATAAATAACCAGGGGGGGGTGTGGAGCTAATTGTAGCTCTTCCCAATGCAATTTGCATTTAAAAGAGGAACCCAAGGGAATTGATTTCAACGAATGGAATTCTAGTTTTCTAGTCCCTGGAGGAAGGAAAGGGCCTCTTAGCAGCTCTTAGTAGTAACAGCACCTCAAATGTGTCACACCCCTGTCAAAGAGACCCTAGCAGTTAGCCGAATGTGGGTTATTATGAGGTCAGGGGATTGTGATGGTGTCTGGTGAGGCCAAGTGTTAGTACCTTAAAAGATGTCCTTTGGCCCCCATCAGCAGCACGGTGGTCTCCTGAATGACAACTGAGGACAGGGAAATAATGGAAGCCCGGGGGGCAGGAGAAAGCTGCCCAACCTTCCCCAAGATCGTGCCTAGTGATCCCATTTCGGAAGCCAAGTCAAAGGCTTCTTCGGTAAGGAGGGCATCTATTCATTCAGGAGAGGAGGGGTACACTGGAGGCTTGTGATAGGTGCTGAATGCTATGAGATAACAGACTGCTGCCAAGAAAAGCAGGTATCTTGCACCCATGCCTGTAACTGGCACCCAAACTGTAGTCAGGAACCAGGTAGCCCTTCACAAGCTTGGGAAATCACTTGTTGCTGGTCTTGGTCTCTCTCATCTACCTCCCTTTCCTCCATGCATGGGACCCTGTTCCTCCCATCACCCTTTGTTGGTCTCTCAACATGTTGTTAAATGCCGTGGACTCTTTCCCACTCACAACTAGCCTAGCTAGAGCGAGCCTGTATAGGGTTTCCAAGGAGGCTGGTGAGCTTGAACCGCTGACCTTGCATTCCAACCGACCTTGTAGTCCATCCTATTAACCCACAGCACCACAGAGGCCCTGGGTGTCTTTCTTGCTATTAGCTCCCGAAAGAACCCTGTGTCTAACTGGTCTCAATGTTAGGTAGGGGGTAGGGTGATGTGAAATTAGGAAGACAGACTTCTACCTCAACTTCCAAGTGCCTCCACTTTATACCTTTAAGACACCATACCTGTGACTACATCTTTACAATTCACGATAAGCTTCCTATGTAGCTTGGGCAG